CTGTCCAAAGTCTGCATAATTCATCACAATTTACTGTGGTAGTTGATTTTAATCAGGCCGCTTCTGAAGAAAAGGGGGGTTGTGATAATCTTCAGGGATACAAATAAGGAAACAGTGACAGGGGCCATCTATAAAGTGATAAATATTTAAGATGCCGTTTTAATAAGTGATACTCGCTACATAAAAGCAGTGTTTGGTATGGCCTCCCAGTCGTCATTACATATTCAGATGCTGGTGTGTTGTTTTTCTTTTGTTTTTTCTGTGCCATCAGCATCTCTTTAATATTAACACCTCCGCAGATGGATTTCTGATTGCCTGGCTAAATGTGTCTATCCCCTGCTTCTAAATTATTTTTGCGATTATCATTATTAATAGCTTTTCTGTTTGCAGTCAATTTACATCCCACTCTTTGAGCGGTGTCTGCGTCTCTGCGACATCGTTTCCCCTCCCGCCTCCATGTTCTCGTTCTCTCTCGTTTCGCTCTCCGTCTGAGGAGGCTCGGCTCCGTGTGGACGGAGGATTTATTGGATCTCATCGCCAACTATGCGAGCCATAATATAAACCATCCAGTAATGTATTCTATATGTAAATAGAGGAGGGTGACTATAGCACCAACACTTCATTACTCAGAGTGTGTGCCGTGTGTGTGTGTTGAAATGCAGATTTCGGTCTGGAGATCTCCGGCTGCAGAGTGTCTGACTAGTGATCAGCTGAGCTAATCAATCTCATCTCTGCATTGTGGCCGGCTCAGGGATGAAGACAAGAGTCATGGTTTTTCATGCTCTGGTCAGTTTTTGGGATATTGTGTCTTCTTTCAGACTAGTAGAAAGGAAAAGAAGAAGAAAAAAACCCACATGTAGGTGTTCATGTTACTACTTTGACTCTAAATTCACCAGAAGATTTCATTTGATGATGTCTCATTTTGTTTGTTCATATATCATTCACAGCCTGATTTATACAACATTGTATTCCTAAAAATATGGTGAAAATGTATTTTTTATGGCTGTTGACAGTATTTTCTGATTTATGGAGTGATACAGAGATATCCAAAATCTCCTTCTAATATGTCACCAAAATGAAACAAGAACCTGGCTATATCCAATGTTCAGATTTATACAACAAGCAAATATTTAAGATAACGCGCCATTTGCATATTTTAACACACAAGTTCAGAAAACTTGTATTACAAAAAGCAATTGCCTTAATGAACTAGGGAAGTTTCTTGGTGATATCTATTCGGTAAAAGTTTGACTCTATTCACCTGTAGTGCCTCCAGTTCTACTGTAGTTCTATTCTCCTCCTGTTCTCAGAGTAAGAGCTTAAAGAAAGCACCATATTTCACATGTAAGTCTCCGAGTCCTCTGGGCCCCTATCTAGGCCTACTGGTTCCATGTATTCCCCAAATCAAACCATTGCCATTTTCCAATTCAATTTTATTTGTAAAGCCCAAAATCACACATGTGCCCCAGAGGGCTTTACAATCTGTACAGCATACTATAAAAATGAAGAAACCTCAGAGCGACGGAGGAGGGATCCCTCTTCCAAGATTTTTAGAAGGATCCACACACCTGTTCCCACTTTATTTATCTGCTCTGCTCGGCCCTTCCTGCCTCCTCACCTGCATCACCCACCTGCCTCCAATTCCCTCTGATTACACCCAGCTCTTCTTATGTGCTTCTACGAGCCCCGTTTCTGTGTGTCTTTCCAGTTTCTTGTTGTTTCTATGCAGTGACCTTTCTTAGTTACCTGTCTACCGGACCAACTGTCATTGAAGTCTTCTTTAAACATAAACCCCCGGAATTCATCTGTCTGCATTTGGAATTGTTCCTTGTCCAGCAATATCCCGCCGTGACACTGGCACAGTGAGGAGTGATATTCCAGCCCAGTAAGGCAAGGCAAGGCAAGTTTATTTGTATAGCACATTTCAACAACAAAGTAATTCAAAGTGCTTCACATAAAACCATTAAAAGCATCAAAACATAAGGCACTCTAACCCGGCCTCCCTGAAGTCTTATTTAGCGTGGGACTCCAACCCTGCCTCGGGACTCTAACCGGACAATTGGACGCGGGACTCTGACCCCGTCTAGACGCGGGACTCCAACCCCGTCTCGGGACTCTAACCCGGCCTCCCTGAGGACTTATTTAGTGTGGGACTCCAACCCCGCCTCGGGACTCTAACCCGGACAATTGGACGTGGGACTCTAACCCCGTCTAGACGCGGAACTCCAACCCCGTCTCGACGCGGGACTCCAACCCCGTCTCGGGACTCTAACCCGGCCTCTCTGAGGTCTTATTTAGCGTGGGACTCCAACCCCGCCTCGGGACTCTAACCCGGACAATTGGACGTGGGACTCTAACCCCGTCTCGACGTGGGACTCTAACCCCATCTCAGGACTCTAACCCGGCCTCTCTGAGGTCTTTCAATGACACTTTTTATCGGTTTACCAGGACTTTTCAGACATCGTAACGTAACATCACTAAATGTCGTGTTTTCAATCAGCAGTATTTGGAAATTGATTAATATCAAAAAAAAACAAAAAAAAAACAGTGTAAGAAATAAAATACAGTAGTTAAATGCAGAAATGCAGGAAATTGATTAATATATTAATTGAATGTGGTTCAATTAAAGGCAGCAGCAAACAGAAAAGTCTTCAATCTTGATTTAAAGGAGCTGAGGGTCTCAGCAGACCTGCAGCTTTCTGAGACTTTGTTCCAGATATGTGGAGCAGAGAAACTGAACGCTGCTTCTCCATGTTTAGTTCTGACTCTGGGAACAGAAAGTAGAAAGTACCCCAGTATTCCTGACCTTTAAGTGCTTTGAATTGCCTCACCATAAAAACGTTAACATGCCCTTAGATGCAGGAGCGTATATTGTAGGTAGAGTTGTTTCCGATACCTGTATCAGAAATGCCTCAGATTCAGAACAAAGGCCGGATGCACTGATCTAATACCACATTGTATCATTTATCAGCTTATTTACACTGAACAGGAACAACAACAACACGTGTAACTCGCTACCCGATCCGTATGTTCTGCCTGATCGGTACTGAGCATGTGCAACTCTCAACAGAGATGAGAAAGAACCCAGATGGCTCACTCGTCAGCTACTTCCATCCAGCGAACATTTTTTGTTTCCTGGAGCTGATGATGGAAGTAGCTGACGAGTGAGCCATCTCGCTTCTGCACATGCTCAGTGCCAATCAGACAGGGGCTAGACGAGAGATTAGCGTTAGCCACGTACTTCACAGTGAACAGATTTTGCAGTTATGTTTGGAATTAACCTTCAACAGTTTGTTTTTGTTATGTTGTTAGAAAAAGACGGGAAGAATTCAGTTTTATATTTCCTACCAAATGTATCTGTACATCCTTCTTAGGAGAAAGGAGTGAACAGTTAAGCTTTTTATGCATGAAACATATAAATGCATAAATTCATCATCAGTTTATTTTGTGTTCATACAGCTGTAGTAAACCAGCCGACGTGTGGCTTGCTAGACACAGTGAATACAGCTCGATAAAATCCATGGAGCTCCTCTGGACAATATTATGAACCCAGACATGACGGCGTTTAGTTTCCCGGGATATCTGTGACTTCCACAACACGTACTAAGCAGAAATAGAGGTTATTTTTTTCATGGTTAATGGCGGACAGTTGAAAGGCTTTCAGGGCGATAAGCCGCGCCCCCTCTCCGGCGCGTCCAGCGCGATTCACACATGAACACAAATGGTCCCCGGCGTTTTGACCGGCGGCACGAATACGCGGCGCGATGAATTCGTTTGGTGTGAGCTCAGCATTACTGTGAGGAATTTAAGTTTTGAAGCTCCTAATTATGGATATTATGTGATACAGTGTATTTACTTGTAAAGGTTTTGAATCATGGAGTGTTGTCATTTCATGCATTGAGTGAAAGAGGGGGGTTTGAGGAATGTGCTGGAGGGGGGGTTGTGTGAAAGTGGCTGGGTGAGGTGTGAAGATCAAAACAATGGATCAACAGCCTAGGAGGGGCTTGTTGGCTTCAGCCAATCATTGAGCTGATCGATATGTAATGTGAGACTTTTCAGAGACTTTGGGGGAAAAAGGAGATGTGAATCCAGGAGAGATTCAGACCTCCTCGGTACCATGGGGCAGATACACCAATCTGTCGTGTGGTGCGGACGGGGCCTCAATTTCATGGAATTTATGTTTATTTTGTTCTTAGTAGTAGATTCGGTTTGTAACTGTTTGTATCTGACAGGCACCACTGACCTTTAATGAAATCCGCCCCATTGCACGTCAGCTACTTGTAGCATTTAAAGCCCTGAAGGGTATCGACCTCCTTCACACAGACCTGAAAACTGACAATGTTATGCTCGTCAACCACCAGGATGATCCCTTCAGGGTGAAATTAATTGACTTTGGTTTGGCCATTCCAGCCTCAGAAGTAACGGAAAGAATGATTATGCAACCTTGTGCATACAGAGCTCCAGAGGTGACCTTGGGCCTCCCCATATCTGAAGCCATCGACATGTGGGCACTGGGCTGTCTCCTGGCAGAACTGTTTTTTGGCCGGGACCTCTTCACTGACAACTCAACATACAACGTAATAAAAACTGTTTGCCATCTACTCGGCCAGCCAGAAGACCACCTGCTGAATACTGGAAAGTACACCAACCAGTATTTCAACAGGGATTACTGCTCTCCCAATTCAAGATGGAGACTAAAGACGTCAAAAGAGTACAAGGTGGCAACCGGTATCCAGACAATTTCAAAGTGGGATTTCGACACTGTCGGAACTTTGGATGAAGCAGTAGAGTTCTACTCAAATGCAAATACTTGTGTTGAACATGAAGACATAATGGCATTTTTAAATCTCCTAAAACGGTTTGCTCGATCCAAATGCTGCAACAAGAATCACCCCCGGTCAAGCCCTAGACCATAGTTTTATTACAATGGCTCACTTGGTAGATCACATAGAGATCTATTCTTATCCAAATGCTGCCTATGATTTGATGACTGTCCCCCCCCCCCATTTGATTCAGGTGAATCAACTGACTCAAGAGATGGATTCTCAGACACAGACAGCTCCAGGTATGAGACCGCAGACTCCATAGCATACAATGGTGATCCTCCAACTCCACAAGAACCAATTCAGATACAAAAGAATGACATACTCTGTAACAAGTCTGTACAATACAGAGTATTTGACTTAATTGGAGAAGGAGGCTTTGGAAAAGTAGCCAAGTGTGTCAACTTGAAAACAAAGGAGATTACGGCCATCAAGATCCACAAAGACTTTATAGATCACATCACAGAAGTGAAAATGCTGAAACAACTCAGGACCCTTGACCCAGAGGAAAACAACTTGGTGAGATTCGAAGACAGTTTCATATTCAAAGGCATGTCTTGCATCGCCTTCCAGATGCTGGACATGAACCTTTGGGATTTGATGGATCAGAGACAGGCACCACTGACCCTTAATGAAATCTGCCCCATAACACGTCAGCTACTTGTAGCATTTAAAGCCCTGAAGGGTATCGGCATCCTTCACACAGACCTGAAACCTGACAATGTTATGATCGTCAACCACCAGGATGAGCCCTTCAAGGTGAAATTAATTGACTTTGGTTTGGCCATTCCAGCCTCAGAAGTAAGAGAAGGAATGATTGTGCAAACTTGTGCATACAGAGCTCCAGAGGTGACCTTGGGCCTCCCCATATCTGAAGCCATCGACATGTGGGCACTGGGCTGTGTCCTGGCAGAACTGTTTTTTGGCGGGAACCTCTTCAATGAAGACTCAACATACAACGTAATGAAAACTGTTTGCCATCTACTCGGCCAGCCAGAAGACCACCTGCTGAATGCTGGAAAGTACACCAACCACTATTTCAACAGGGATTACTGCTCTCCCAATTCAAGATGGAGACTAAAGACATCAAAAGAGTTCAAGGAGGCAACCGGTATCCAGACAATTTCAAATTGGATTTTCGACACTGTCGGAACTTTGGATGAAGCAGTAGAGTTCTACTCAAATGCAAATACTTGTGTTGAACATGAAGACATAATGGCATTTTTAAATCTCCTAAAACGGTTGCTCGATCCAAATGCTGCAACAAGAATCACCCCCAGTGAAGCCTTAAACCATTGTTTCGTTACAATGGCTCACATGGAAGATCACATGGATACCTATTCTTATCCAAATGCTGCCTATGATTTGATGGTCGATGGTAGCATACAACTGTGATCCGCCAACTCCACAAGAACCAATTCAGATACAAAAGAATGTCATGGGGTTATTTACTGCAAGGGTACTTCTACTTTTTCGAATGCAGGACTTTTACTCGCCATGACATTCTTTTACTGCAGTGAAGGATCTGAATAATTTTTCCTCCACTAATGACTTGTAAGTGAGTTTGGCAAACAGTTAATATACAAACAGTGGTTCTTAACCCTGGCTCCAGATCCTTGACTAGATTAAGGATCTGGAGCCCTTAACCCTAACCGCTCTTTGTATATTAACTGTTTGCCAAACTCACTTACAAGTAATTAGGGGATGAAAAATTATTCAGATCCTCCACTGCAGTAAACGTACTAATACCATACTGATGAAACAATCCACGACGAGTAAAAGTCCTGCATTCAAAACCTTAGTCAAGTATGGTATAATCAGCAAAATCTACTTAAAGTACCAAAAGTAGAAGTACCCTTGCAGTAAATAACCCCACGCCCCTAGGGTTCATTCTGTACACACGACATCTTTGCACTTCTGTCCATCCTGGGAGAGGGATCCCTCCTCTGTTGCTTTCCCACAGGTTTCTTCCTCTTTTCTCCCCGTTAAAGGGGTTTTTGGGGGAGTTTTTCCTGTTTCGATGCGAGGGTTCTGGGACAGAGGATGTCGTATATGTAGAGATTGTAAAACCCTTTGAGAAAATTTTTTACAAAAATAAAACAAAACAAAAAAGAATTTAATTGAATGTGTGTTTTAATTATGTCATGCTTGTAAATCGTTTTTGAAAATTCTAAGTTGTACTACGGTCATGTTTAATATTTTAATGTGTAAAAATACATTTTGATGTATAAATTCAGGGACAATCACTGATGAGTTCTCATTTGCACCCAACAGCCTGAACATATACAGTAAGTTAGCTCAACTGATTTGACATATTGGCCCAAATATAGTGTCTATAAAGTGTCATCTAAAGAGAATAATTTAATTAAAAACACCTGAACATTACTTTCTGCAACATTTTGCTGGTTTAGTACAAGTCTAAAGTGGCTTGAGAACTTAAGGCAAGAAGGTTCATTTAATGTCACAGCACCTTTCAAACACAGCTGCAATTCAAGGTTTTATGGCAAGGAAATGCATTAGAAAGGTTAATATATCCAGCAGCATAAGTGAGCAGAGGGCTGTAATGACCCGCTGACGACATCATCAACTGTCGGAAGAGACCTGAAGCCCCGCCCACGCTGCTGCACAGAGCGCCAACGCTTGTATAGTATTAATTATCGTTAATATTATTTATTTATTCAGATGCATCGATACCAAAACATATTTCTCATATCAGTCTAAAACTGACTCAAATAGCTGAATCAGCTATCGGTGACGACATGTAGATCCGGTATTGGATACCAATATTTAAAACAATAACAATTCAGTACATTTTTATCTATGTATTTATTTGTCTCATTTTGTTTTTCAAAGCCAGGAAAGCAATGTTTAAGTCAAGCCTGTAGTTAGCCCACGGACTACAGCCACCTCGCCCGGACCAGGGAAACCGGGGCACCCTCCCGGAGCCAGACCCAGGAGGGGAGCTCGTAGGCGAGCGTCTGGTGGCCGGGCCTTTGCCCATGGGGCTCGGTCGGGCTCAGCCCGAATAAACACCATGGAGCAGCCACCCTGTGGACCCACCACCCGCAGGGACAAGCATCGGGGTCGGGTGCTATGCAGACCGGGCGGCGGGTCGGGCGGGAGGCCCGGGCATGCCGATCGCCGGCGGCATAGACTAGCTCTAGGGACGTGGAACATCACCTCGCTAGCGGGGAAAGAGCCGGAGCTGGTGCAGGAGGTGGAGCGATACCAGCTAGAAATAGTTGGACTCACCTCCACACACAGCGTTGGCTCTGGAACCAAGCTCCTGGAGAGGGGTTGGACTTTGTCCTTTTCCGGAGTTGCCCAGGGTGAGAGGCGCCGGGCGGGAGTGGGGATACTCACGAGCCCCCGGCTGAGCGCCGCTGTGTTGGAGTTCTCCCCGGAGAGCGAGAGGGTCGCCTCCATGCGCCTACGGGTTGCGGGGAGCAAGGCTCTGACTGTGGTTTGTGCTTATGCACCAAACAGCAGTTCAGAGTATCCGGCCTTCTTGGAGTCGGTGGGAGGGGTCCTGGAAAGGGCGCCGCCTACCGACTCCATAGTTCTCCTGGGGGACTTCAACGCTCACGTGGGCGATGGCGGAGAAACCTGGCGGGGGGTGATTGGGAGGAACGGCTTGCCCGATCTGAACCCGAATGGTGTTTCGTTATTGGACTTCTGTGCTTGCCATGGTTTGGCCATAACGAACACTATGTTCGAACATAAGGTGGCTCATAAGTGTACCTGGTACCAGAACACCTTAGGCCGGAGATCAATGATCGACTTTGTAATCGTATCATTTGATCTGCGGCCGTATGTCTTGGACACTCGGGTGAAGAGAGGAGCAGAGCTGTCAACTGATCACCACCTGGTGGTGAGTTGGATCAGATGGCAGGGGAACCGGTTGGAAAGACCCGGCAAACCCAAACGTGTAGTGAGGGTGAACTGGGAACGTCTGGCGGAGGACCCTGTCCGGGAGGTCTTTAACTCCCACCTCCGGAAGAACTTCTCACACATCCCGAGGGAGGTTGGGGACACGGAATCCGAGTGGACCATGTTCAAAGCCTCTATTGTGGACGCGGCCGCTAGGAGCTGTGGCCGGAAGGTCATCGGTGCCTGTCGTGGCGGCAACCCGAGAACCCGGTGGTGGACACCGGAGGTGAGGGAAGCCGTCAAGCTGAAGAAGGAGACCTTCAAGGCCTGGTTGGCCCAGGGGTCTCCTGAAGCAGCTGACAGGTACCGGCAGGCCAGAAGGGCTGCAGCTGCGGTGGTCGCGAATGCTAAAACTCGGGCATGGGAGGAGTTCGGGGAGGCCATGGAGAAGGACTTTCGGTTGGCCTCAAGGAGGTTCTGGCAAACCATCCGACGGCTCAGGAAGGGAAAGGACATCGTCGGGCGGTGGAAAGCGCACTTTGAGGAACTCCTAAACCCGACCAACATGTCCTCTGCAGAGGAGGCAGCGCCTGAGGACCTAGGGGGAGGCTCACCCATATCCCTGGCAGAGGTCGCTGAGGTAGTCAAAAAGCTCCTTGGTGGCAAGGCGTCGGGGGTGGATGAGATCCGCCCTGAGATGCTGAAGGAGCTGGACATGGTTGGGCTGTCCTGGCTGACACGCCTCTTCAATGTCGCATGGGGGTCGGGATCAGTGCCCATGGAATGGCAGACCGGGGTGGTGGTTCCCATCTTCAAAAAGGGGGACCGGAGAGTGTGCTCGAATTACCGGGGTATCACACTACTCAGCCTCCCGGGGAAGGCTTATGCCAGGGTGCTGGAAAGGAGGCTCCGACCGCTTGTCGAACCTCAGATTCAAGAGGAGCAGTGCGGATTCCATCCCGGCCGTGGAACAGTGGACTAGCTCTTTACCCTCGCAAGACTACTGGAGGGGTTCTGGGAGTTTGCCCAACCAGTCTACATGTGCTTTGTGGACTTGGA